ATATATTATTGTATTTGATTATATATTCCAGTTTTTCAATTATATATAATATTTTTTATATCATAAATAACATACCATACTTTTCTTTAGACTAAAATAAATTACTGATAAAATTTATATTAATAAATTAAATAAAATTCAATCTACAAAAACGTGCAAATAAATCTGCATCAATCCGCATTTCATACAAAAATTTTTCCATATCGTGTTTCATCTGTAATGTGTTATCATCACGCGCAACAACAACAAATATACGCAAATGACAACTACGCCAAACCTAAAATAAATTTTAAAATAATTTAGAACAACGATATTTAAATTTTTAAATATCATTTAACAGCATTGCTATGTAATCAGTTATCATATTTAATAATAATTACTTTATGTTGTTTGAGCAGAAATGAAATTAGCAACAAAAGACCGCCATCATGCAGAATCCACCAAATATCGATATTTCCCGCCATTCGGTATTCATTTTCTGGGAAATATGAAACACCTTTGAGTACCAATAAGCACATACCATGCAATGCACCTCGTTGAAGACGATCTAATATTCGAAGACTTTTAGTCGTAAAAAAATTCAAAAAAAAATTATTCCATGTTTGAAATTGAATTTACGTTATTAAAAAAAACACTAAATTGATTGATTTTGGTGTATGCAAATTTTCCCAATGATGGTAACAATTTATTCAAATTAATGGCAGTTACTTTTTGCTGCTATCGATTTAACTAGTTATGATTCAATCAATTAATTAGTGGCATACTCAGTATTTTTAGAAATCAGCTAATTATATTAATCTTCATACAGTAGTCACAATTTTTAACATCAGATATAATATTTTCACTAAAACATACGTAGAAAGCACCAATATGAATTCTCTGCAAGTGAACCTTCAGGATACGGTATAAGTAAAGTATTCGGTCGTAAAGGGCCAATCCCACAACTTTGTATAAGAGTTGATAAAGTGCCTTGAAGTTGATCAGCTTCATAAATAAGTGATGAACAAAAACCGTGAACTTTTGCAAAAGCCATTTCGTTTAGTAGCTCTTTCTTTAGCTTTGCTGCAATAATCTGCAAAATAGCCAGAAAATTCACGTGATATCAAGCGTATCAACGTTTAGCACTCAAAATTAGAAACAGTAAAGTTATAACTGAAGATAAAATCAACTGATAGGAAATATTGTGCAGTATTTATAAATTAAATTATTTATTATTTATTTGAAAACTGTAAACAAATAAAATGAAAAAGTTCACATATTTAGTCAAAATTTTTTTCAACAGTTTTCACAAGTTTCTCAAAATGTTTTAGAAAACAGAAACTTGCTTCATCAATCATTAAAATCCTCTTATATTCTAAAAATTTTATATTTCACATGTTATAATTATATACTGTATGTTACTGTATACTTTTACAAAACTCAGTATGGACTTTTCAATCAGCACAGCGAAAATACAATGTCATTGTGGATATACTTCTCTATTACTTTTATAATTTTAGCACACTTTTTTCAGTTCATGCTTTACACTTACTTTTTCAAAAATTAAAATATTAGTATAAATTTATTTGTAGTAAAGAAAAGTGTAAAGATATTTGCTGCATAATTTTATTATTAGATTACTTTTTTTCATTCTATAAATTTGTTGATTAAATATTAATACTTTTAACTAACCTTAGCATTTTTATCGGTTGATCTTCCTTCGTGTAGTGCCACTGCAACCGTTAATCCCCGTCCCTTCTTAAGCTGACTTGCAAGACTAATCAACTTACGAGTAGTCTCTTTCTGACGCCAATCTTCAGCCGATGGAAGATTAGCTATAAGTAACAGTTGTGGTCGCCAATTTTTTGGATGTGGTTGTTTGTCTTCCAATTTTGACAATGAAAACTGAGCAGTACTGAGAACCAGACCGGTCATTCCATCACCCCATTCTTTCTTATCACTAAAAAGATAATTACTCTCACACATATGCATATCTTTATGTCTTTAATTAGCATTAACACTTATCGCTTTATGTACTGAAAAATACTTTCATTAGCTGAAATAAATATTTTATGCAGACAAAAATGCTTATCCACATTATCCAACTATATGGCATGAACAATCAAATATTATTAGTATAAATTAAAAATGATTGACGAAAAAATGTAATCAACGAATGTAATCAATACTTTATAAAATTATATTGAAGTCTAAAGACACTAAGCCCAAAAATATTCCAAGTAATTCAAATTTCGCTCCACAATTTCAGTTATTTTTTTAACTATCAAACTATTTGCATATTTGTGTTTGAAAAAAAAATTTAGCATGTTTTTAGCACTTACCCTTTCCATGACACGTATTTGTAAATTATAGCACATAGAAAGATAACAACGAGAGCGTAAATCCAGTGAGTTGCAAACATTGTGAATAAACATAGCAATGTCCCTACCAATGATAATGTCCTAAAACTTGACACATATTCAAGAATATGATTTTTATGATTTTTTGAACATAATACTCATTAAATGTTTGACTGCATAAGTTCATGGCATTTATATTCTTTGCAGAAAATTTCAATTCAAATAATATTTGTAATTTTTTTCAGCCTGAATTATATCTGCCTGAAGTATTTCAAATATTTTTTCTTTTTTGACAAAATGGTTTTCGATGTTTGTAGGAATTGAAATCTATGTGGGATTAGAATATTGAAGCTGTTATTTGTAAACAATTAACTTTTGTAGCAGCTTATTTTCGTCAAACTTTACGTATAAAAATGGAAACAAAACTTTTAAACAATTAACTTTTGCCAAACTTTACATATAAAATTTTATTTATATATTGACTGACATTTGCGCTCAGATTTTTGTATTTTTCTATCATAAACTAGCAATTGAAGTATTTAACCTTATTATACAGTTCTAATGCGGTAAAATTTTGTTTTTTTATCCAAGTTAGACAATGAAGTTGCTTGAGATCTCTGTTTGCATACGCATTTTGAAAAATGAACAATAAAATACTCCGTCACTCCTTCTATCAGTGAAACAAGTTTTCATACTGTAACCGTGATAAAAAAAGAAGCGTGAAACTTTGTTACCAATGATAGCATTTAAAACGCGGCCTCCAATTAGGAGCTCCAAGGATAGAATGCAAAAAGCAGGCCAAATTAACAAATGCATAGCAAGTGAGAAAAAAGAAGTCAACAATTGGTGCGATTCGATCTAAAGCTGCTACTAATATTGCCATTTCAGCGATTAGAGTTGTCAGTACTACGCTGAAAGTAAAAAGTATTCAAAAAATAGATCAATAACTTTTCTTAAACAACAATTAAATTTTTTTGAACTAAAACAAGTTCAAATTCTGGCGGGTCATTTATTTTGTTTTTACTATTTATTTGCCACTTAATTCTTTTACTTTATTTACCGTTTAGTTTTACTTTTTTCTTGCGTTTTAAATTTATGATTTATTTTTGTAAGTTAAGCAATCAATATTCAAAAATATACCAACGAAAAGGCTCATTCCATCGAGTTAATACTTGAAATGGTCGTAAAAATGGTAATACATCATCTTTTGCTATTGATTGCAGTAAACGTGGAGCACCTGAAATTTTATTTTTTTAAATAGTACTTAAAATTTCAAAATTACATCACAAAGTAAACTTACTACAAAGACACTGTAGCGCAGCTCCAAAACAAGACGTGAATGCACCAATCATTATAACCCAAGGTGATGGCCAAGCTAATTCCGCCACTACCATACCAGTGTTACCCAAACTTTTACCGTACTTATCACGTAATACTGGACCTGTTTATGAAGACTTTATATCATTATATATCTTTTCTGTATGGTACAAGTTCATATGAAGCTATAAATTAATCACTAAAATATTAATGCAGAAAATTACTTATTATAAATCTCAAGTAATATTAGAATGATTCAAACTTTCGTCTTTTTTGAATAAGAATCTTTCATAAAATAATTTGAGTAGCATCATATTATGTTTAAGTTTATGACGTGATATCAGAGTTACACTAGCTTTTTCATCACGTGTATGTTGGCGTTTGCATTCTCCTCATGCATTTTATAAAAGTAATATAAAAGTTGTGCCAACGTTCTGACTGTATTCAAGTTAGTGAAACTTAACATAAGATTGAAGTTTGCTTAATTCGTACTTATTTTCTAATTGATATAATATCACTTTTCATTCAGATATTTTACATTTTTAAAAATTCATTTTAATATTTATGTAATACTAAAATAACACGGTTTTTGTACTCATAACTCATACTCCCATTTAATAATGTATTATTTTTCATTTTTTAATTATAAATGTAAAATTACCACTTATTGTTGATCCGAAGGCTAAAATTAGTAAAAGATAAATAATGGATGTTGTTAGTTGAGCAGCAATTGTTCCTTGTGGTAAGCTTTTCTGCGGATCTTTCAAATCTCCTTAATAGAAAATATTTAAAACTGCAATTGACAAACAATCAAATAATTTACAAAATTACAAAATTTGTACTGATTTTACTCCAGCATATTTATTTTGAATTATCTGTTACTAATACTCTGGATTACTAATTCGGTGCTCAGTAATAATAATATATTCGATTTTTGATGTCACATGGAATACTTAGTATTTAATTGTAAAAAAAATTTAAAAAAAGAAATCATTGAAGTCATACCACTCATATTAGCACCAGTCATGATGCCGGTAACACTTGGGAAATATATGGCCATTAATACAAAAAATGTGGTGGTGATATCCTGAAGAGAGAAAAAATGATTAAATTAATAACCAATTTATTTAAATTAACACGTAAAAAATTTTTATAAAGGTATCGAAAAGCCCAAAAACCATGCATGAAACTTCGAAGTCTCAAAAAATCACGAAATTTGCAGTTTTAAATATTCTTTATTTCACATTTAAATTATAGTTATTTAAGTTAATAAATGGTTAAATAATTAAAATTGGTTCAAAATAATCAAAAAATACAATAAAGTGATAAATTTGAAGAATTCATTAAAATTGAAGGAATGTTTTCTGAAATTCGCAGAAAAAATTTCCCTCGCAATTTATAATAAATAATCATAATGAATGTTTTCACCTGGAAAACTTCAAATTTTTGATTCGCATATTGTCCTGGTATGGCTTCTCCTTGTTTCATATATTTACTTCCAAAATTAGCTAAAATTCATCAGATAAAATAATAGAAAATATTTTTAGAATTAAAAAATATGTATTTTTGCCACTTATTTTATTAATTATCAGCAGAAAAAACGCATATATGTTCAATCATTTCAAAAACTGTACTCACTTAAAACAAAGTAAGTAATACTTATAAGCAGCTTGATTAAGCTTCTTGTTCAAAATAAACTCAAAGAAGACTTATTTTTCCTGTTTTGCTTTTCAAGCATTGAAATATCGCGGAAAAACATGCAATTAAATAAATAAGACAAGTGAGTAATAATAATTAAATAAAATTAGTCAAATTAAAAAACAAAATTTGCAGCATACCGAGAAACAGGCCACTTTGAACACCAGGAAACGCTTCTTCACAGGTTAAAGTATAATTTTGGCAGATTGCAGAAAGCGTATTATTATTCGAGCAGATAACACTATAAAGGATTGGATTCTGAAACGTACAGTACCTGCATGGATCTCCTGTCCAGAACGTATCTGGTAGGTAAGCATCGGCTTGAAGTAATCGCTTATCAAGATAACAAACTCCATGGTTGCTGGATGTAATAATGTTTTTCTCGATAACACCAGCAAAAATTGCTGCTATCGAGATGATCACACAAATTAAAGATATCTGAATATTATTCATTTTTAATCAACTGAATTTTGTAAAAATCAAGTATTATCCTTTAATTTTTGATCTATCTTTTCACTTTCAAAAAATTTTCAATTTTAACTTCATATTTCAAAATTAATCAATCGATTATTCATACCGGTGCAAAAAACTGCACAAATCGAACACCAAGTGCGACAACCACAAATATAAATAACAAAATTGCACTACCATAAATTCGATAATTATCGGACATCATTCCAGTAAAGCCTAAAACAGATAAAGATTTATTGTTTAATGTCCTATCATTATCGAAATGATACGTTCCATCAAATATCAATAATATCTATCGATAAATATTACTATTTAACCTCGATGAACTTAATACCATAAATATTAAACTTTATTACTACTTAACCTTGATGAATGAACTTAATAATAAACATCAAACTATAGTACTATTTAACCTTGATGAACTCAGTAATATAATTATCAAACTTTTGCATTTAAGTATGACAGTTCATTTTTTTTAAGAAACCACATCGTAATTTTTTTGAGCAAACTTTGAAATTTTGTGAAAAAATAAAAATAATTCTTTCTCCAAAATTATTCGTTTTCTCAAATAATCAATGCAAATATTTGAATTTTTTTTTGAAATTCTGGAATATGAAATTATAATACAAAAGTTAAAACCAACCAGTGTCTGCGTGAACTTCTGGACCACCAATTGTCAAATCTGGTGCAATGTATAACTTAAATAGTAATAACTTTAATTAGTAATGTACTATTTTTTCAACTAACATCAATTAAAACTCATCTTTTTCTAATGCTTGAAAGGCTGTAAAAATTAAATAAAAATTCATTGTTAATTTTTATTGATTGTATGCAGATAATATTTGAATTATTTTACATAAATTCGAATAAAACTTTAGAAATTGAAATAAAATATAAACTTACGAGTAGTATTTCTACAGCTGCTACAATATACATAGCACATGCACATGCATTTGCCATGTAAAATAATACACCAACTGCAGTACCAAATTCTGGACCTAAATTTCGTGAAATCATGAAATACGTACCACCACTTTCAATCACTCCGTTAGTTGCCACAGCACTTAAGCTAATGCAAGTCAAGAAAGTCTGTAAGTATAAGCATTTGAATTTTATTTTTGAAAATTCAGCAAGAAAATCACTAAGTATTCGATAAAATATTACTTCGTTTAAAAGATATCCTTTAGTTATCAGTATTGAATTAAGTTTCAATAATTTTTCAACAAACTTGATTAATATGTAAAAATTAACAACGATTATTAAATGTGTTAAATGTCAGTTAACAACACTAATTAACTCATTAAAAATTTATTTACTTGTTGTCAGCCAATCACTCAATTAAAATATTCTCAAGACTTTAAAATTACGTTAATTACGTCTATTATTTGCATAAGATTTTAATTTGAATAGTAATCAATTTTTGAGTTACCATTAAAATATAATTAAAGAGTAAATTTAACAATGCAATAAATATAAAAGATTTAGTCATTAAAAATCTTTTTTGTAGTTTTGATACAGTAACATTATTTTATTACATGAATTTTTTAGGACCTTGAAACAATAACTATTTAAAATAATCATATTTTCCGCTTACTTAAATTTTAACGAGTAGAATAAAATCGATAAAGTTTAACTTAACTTACGCAAAAAATGCATAAAAAAGTCATTAAAATACATTGACCAATGCCCATAATACCAACAATCCAAAATAATCGTAAAAACATTATTGCACCAAAAATGTGTTGCAACGTGGGCAAATACACTCCAAGTATTGTGCCAAGATTTGCCTATATAAGTAACTTAATAATTAAGTAATTAAACAAATACTTGAAATATCGGAATTTCAGTTTCCAAAATTTAATTAATTATAAGCAATTAGTAAAAACGAAAATAAGTTTTACCTTTTTTTTCTGTTTTTCATCAAAATTTTGCACATTGAAACTTTTAAAAAATGCAGTGACCAAAGGAAGACTTTTATGGCCAGCGTAAAGAGATAGTTCGTTTGCTGCGGCAACACCTGTAAAGTTAATTAAATTCGTCATTATTTAACAACAAACAGTGATAAATTTAATTAATAAATAATAATTAATTTAGTTAATTAGCAAATGTCACTTTGTATTATTAGTTAACAATAGATAATGACATTTGCTTTTGTCATGTCTTAACAAAATATGGAATGATCAAAAATTTTCTATTCATTAATTGAAAAGATTACTGCATTATTTGTCGAGATTAAACTGTTATAGTATACTCAGAGTTAAAAATCACAACTTTAATTATGTTATCATTTAATAATCAAAAGTTAGCATTTTTATGATTTTCAAAATTTTGCAAAAAAAAACTAATAAACTTTTAAAAATTTAAATAACAGCAAACAAATTTCAGTAACTGATATACTTAATTAATTATCAATAGAAGACAATTAAAATTAATGTTCTAAAATTTTACAAAAATAATGCTGGAAAGTCATAAAATGTAAAAAGTAATTATAATATAAGCAGCAGTTTTGGTTTTTAAAGCTTAATACAGTAAGTATAAACTTTTTTCCCCGAGATTTAATGTAATAAATTATACTTACTTCCATCAATAGTACTATTCGTTTCACAGTATGGTGTTTCGGCATGCAATTTAGCCTTTTTATCGCCATCGTTGATCCAAATTGTAATCTTTTCAGGTCTTACAAAATAATTTCAGGTCAAATTACAAACAATCAATTTTTATGAGTTATTTTGATAAGTACAAAGCTAATTTGAACAGGTTTGTTTCTGTTATGAATTTTTAGAAAGCGAATTAATTCTCATAAAAAGATCCGTTCATATAAAAATTATTATCAAAATACACAAAAATTTACAACAAAACCGTTGACTAAAATATAGCGTAAAATAGTGATTTTCAGTACATTTATTACGTATTAATATTAAACATATATTTTGTCTGATTGTTCAACTCATTTTTTAGTCAAAACAATAATAAATAAATAAAATTTGCATGTTTTCTAACTAGTCTTAAAACTATGTATATAAATTCAAAATTTTTGAATTTTAATCCTTTGTCTATACTTACTATTTCACGTACATGTCAAGAAAATATATACTTATATTATTGTTACTAACTTCAATGGGATTACTTTTGCTTGTAAATTCTTCATATCATCAAAATTACATGATAGATATTCCAACGCAATTCTTGACTGTGATTTTTTTGCGTTATAGTTTTTTTCTTGTTTGCAATTCTGATTGCTCTCACCAGTGCAGAATTATGAATTTTTTTATTTGGAACATTAAAAGTAGTAATCAATTTGATAAGAAGAAAAAATATGGTTTTTACTTTGCATTTTCTGATAAGATTAAAATGTTAATGCCTTACTGCCAGAAAACAGTCTGATCTAATTTGCAAAACTTTTTACAAAATTTCACAATTCTTCAAATTATGAATTATAATATTAATTATTAGGTGAATAATAATATTACTTATCAGATTATTCTTAACTAACAAATCAAATAATATTCAGTTGACAATTACCTCACAACTTTAAATTTTTGTAAGTTAATATGAAGTAGCAAATTAGGAATGATTATATATTGTTCAATTTGCAAAGTAAGTTTTTTTTTTTCACAAAATTTAAAAACAATCTTCTGCTTTTAGGACTTTATATTAACTTACAAATTGAATAATATTTGATTATCATTTTTATTTATTTTTACTTTGTTTTTTACATTAAAATAAAAAGAGATAGATTCTTTCTGTCTCATATATATTCCTTACAAAGTATATTGGAATTTACATCAGGAAAAAGTTGAAATTCATAGTACTATTTCAAACTCACATAATATTAGCTTCACCAATAGTTCGTTTCAGAAATAACTTTTTATATTTGCTATTTTTTGTATTAATAGAGTTGTAATTTCAGGACTGATCAGACTAATTTTTCTAAAATAATTTGTAATCATTCCTACAAAACTTTCTAACATATTATCTTTTCCAGATAATTTCTAAAGGGACAAGTCATTTTCATTTTTTGCAGTCATTTATTTCTTTTCTCAAAAAACTCAAATATTCTCCCAGTGATTATCAAATTTGCCACGGTGATAAGAGATGATTTTAATCAAATACAATATCAGTTATAAGATTACTAACATTAGTGATAAGTATATTTGAACACCTCTTAGCAAGAATATTAAACTTTTTTCAACTTGAAATGAAACAAGAAATTGCATTTTTTTTTCTCACGTTATCGTACTAATGGATTATCTACTAATTAAAAGTAGGGCAAAAATGAAAGGCATTAGTTTTATGATGATAAAGTATTGTTAAAATAATTTTTAGTAAATAAAAGTTTAAATTTATTGAGAATCTTAATAAATAAAACATGGAAAAAATAAAACTGCAGAAAATAATAATTTGAAATAAAAATAGGAAGAATAATTTATTAGTAGAAGAGATATACACAATTACTGGATGATGCAGGCATATAATTAATAAAAGTAATTAATTACAAAATATTTTTGTTTTAATACTTTCTGGAAAAATAATAATATTTTGTTGCGTTCGCATTTTTTTAAAATAGTACTCTGAATCACAATTTATTGCAATATTCTTGTAGTAAATTCATATCAAATACTGAAATATACAAATTATCTGTGATAAATAGTGAAGAATTAAATAAAATAACTACAAATATAGGAATATATATTCCTTGCCACGCAAATACAAAGTTTTTCTAAAATATTAATTCACTGCATTGATTTTCAAAATTTTGAATAATTTTAACGGCAAATGTGAAAAATTTAATTTGCAATTTAAAAAAATACATTTCAAAAGCATTTGTAAATGTAATATTACGTTAAAAATATATCATTCGCAGATTTATTTTTCTTGTTACTTGCAAAAATTAAAAGTCTTACTTTGATTCAGTCGACATTTCCCATTCAGTTACTGTTCGCTGTTAAATTTTATGCGTAGAATACAAAAGTAGTCGAAAATGTTTATTGAACAGAAGGAAAGGTTCACTTTGAAAAGCAATCGTGCTATTTCTTATCACTTTTCAAAGGAACGATAAACAAAAAGTTTTAAACAAATAAGTTTTACTTTTATGATATGACTGTTAATGCCTTTTTATGAGTCAGAATTTTTAATTATGAATTAAAAATTTAAATAAATTAAGTTTTTTAATTAATAGTTATAAATATTTTATTAATTAAAATTAGCTTTCTGTATATAAAAATGATATGGAAATTTGCATACATTTATATTCAACTTAATACTTTTTTTGTAGTTTACAATTTGTACCAAGTGATGAGCAACAGTATAGTGCATTTCTTGATGGATATTATTCAGATGACATACAAAAGAGTATTATTATGTAGTGAAAAACTTTATTTGAAAGTAAGTAAATGGCAACAGTATAATTACCTTTTTAATTATAATAAACACACATTGTATATACTAATTAAGTGAATTGTGGGAAATATTTTTTGACTTATCACTAATTATTACTGCATACTAAAATGGCAATTTTTGTGGCTAAATTGCACTTTTAATAACGTTTATTAATTTTTACTTAATTGGGGAGACTGAATTATGGAATAGTTTTGAGTAATACAACAATTTTTATAATTTATATATTATATTTTAGTCATCAAATTAGACAATATGAAATGAACAAGAAAAAAATTTATTTCTTATGCATATATCATTTAAAATTGAATATGTTAGTCACGCTTGTAGTCATTTTTCTGAAAGTACCAAAGTTTGTGCAGTCTTTGATCAATTCATCAGTTCCATGAGAGTAAAGTAGCTTAGTGTGCTTAAATGCAAAATTTGAATAACTTTAATAACATCAATTATAACTTTTAAAATTCAGATTTGCTTTGTCACTTTGCTGACACGCTGAAATTTCAAAAATTCTCACGTGAAAATTGCATTATTTCAGCTTGTTTAGTTTTGTCTGAAATCAGTAATTGCTTGTTATCATTGAATTGTGATAACGACAAAAACGCTGTCACAAAATGTTTTTGCGCAATTATTTCAACAAACACAAACACATTTGATAAGTGAGGATTAAAAAAAGTAATAATCTTTTAATAATCTTCTAGTTTATTAGCACGAAAAGGATGTCTATTATCAGAGAGAATATACATATTTGTGCAAATTATCTTTTTACTGCTTACTTTATGAATCTAGAATGCGATTATTAAATACTAACTTTGCGACATTTCAAGTGCAATTTGGATAATTTACGATTTTGCCGTTTTAAAGCAATACTTTCACTTCCCGGGCATTGCAAATTTATTCTATCTAAAACATTTAATAAATGAATGTACCGATTTTGGAATTTTTTAGAACTGGGACATATTCATTTGTATTATAAATTGATAAGTATCCAGTAAATTATTATATTTCAGAATTAATGTTGGTTACTGAATATTCAATATTCCCGACTTATAACAGTTAATTTTTCTTAACTGTTATAAGTCTGAAATATTGAGTCTTGTGAAGCCTCTTATCAGTTAAATTCACTTGAAATAATGAAGGCAAAAAATATAACTTGAACTGAGTCATTAATAAATACTCGAAAAAGTATTAACAGAAAGTTAATGGCGATCAAAAAAGTATAGGCTTCAAGATAGGCCAAATCTTAAAAACTTGATCAAGTAATTCGCTACTTTATCAATCGCAAGCAACTTCATATTTTGAGCTTTAGAGAACGATTTATGCAAAAGCGATCAAACTTCTTGCTCAAGACAATAACAGTGCTGATTGTGAGCACAGCAGAAGTTGCTACGTATTCTTCTGATGAACAAGCAAGTTTTTTTTCTTAAAATTTGCAATTTCTGTGAAAAATTTCATATTTCGTTGTACTTTTGGAATTAATTGCAAATTATCAAATTATTTTGATCTTTGAAATAACAAAAAGATTGAATTGTTTGAAACACATTTCGAAGATAAATCAAGCAAAACTAATAACTTTCAGCAGTAAATCACTGCTAAAATAAAAATTACTTGGATATTTGAATAGCTAAACTTCATCTCCTCATTTTCAGTATATTATTATAATACCGTTACAAGGATGATAATACGTGCTTTCGTTCAGGGCATAAAATTGGAAACGAATAACTCACCTTTCAATTTGCCATCAGCTGCAATTCCATCAGTAGCCTCTATCCCAGCGATGAATTTGCAGACATTACCAACTATTCAAATGCCAACCTGGCCAACATTGCCAACTTTTCCCATTATGACCATAGTTCCACTGACCTTTCCAACTTTGGCTAGTTTAATTTTACCAACGTTTGGTCATTTCAATCACACTTTGAATATTGACTGGTTTGCAACTTCAACTCCTAATCTCCTCAATAACCTTTCCGTGCCAACGTTTCCAACATTGCCAAGTATATTTACTCAAAGTCCTTCTGAACTGCCTTAATTTAGTAGATATACTGAGTAATGCTCTTTTGTGATTTTTCTGATCCTCACATTATTCTAGAGATGAAGTAAGAAAATCAAAAGTATTAAAATGGAATATCTGTTAAAATATACATATGTTCATGATCTTTTCAACCGCTATGCCTTTATAAATAATACCCTCTAAGTTAAAATATGTGATGATTTGACTTGCTGTATCAATGTATGTATGTATCTATCTGTCTATCTGTCAATCAGATATATCAGATCTGACAACTAATATAAATCATATACTTTTAAGTGAAAATAAACATCTTTCTAATATTAAACACATAATTTGAGGTGAAGAAACGGACTTCAAAATTGCCATTCTAAATCATTCTCAAATGACGACAGTTTTTCGATCGGACCTCACATTTGTTTGAAACATATTTCTTACATAACAAAAAGACTTACCACTGAATATTTATTTATTAAGTATATATTAACTTGTTTCTATTGTGCAAGTGAGAATCTACGTTGCAGTCAAATATCCACTATTAGTTGATATTGATTGATAGAACTCTTGAAGTGGAAAAAATTAGTGAAAATAGAAAACAAGATGGGAATAGATATTTTATCGTTTTTTCATCAGATATGTGAGAGAGACTATATATTACTTCAAATACATCTGCCACATCTGCTCAGAATCAGAAACTTGGCTTCTTCTTATTAGCAACAATCAAGCCTTGTTAAAATGAAAGAGAAGAAAAATGGAATTTAGAAGCCTCAAGAGATGACCTCAATGAATTCAACCACAATAAATTAAAAGTTCCATGATAATATAATTACACATTCGCAATAAAAATGCTCATTGAATGTCTTAATTAACTTGATTAACTATTGTAAGCACACACTCCTCTATAATTTGATGGCATTGAAGTCAGCATCATTCAATCGTGACTTCAAATTTGGATATTTCGGAAAGAAATAGAAAATAGTTTTAATAACGAGACTTCCTGGTCACTTATCATTCACAGATTCAAAACGACTTTTCTTAATTATTGCCTAACGGGAATATTAGACTACTATAATCCGTTTCTACGAAAAAAAGTAAGATTGATTCTAAAAAGCGTCACACTTATCCACACATAGAAGTCAAATGAAAAATTTTTAACCTAAGCCTATTACAGGCATGAAATCAATGAAGTAAACAAAATTGATTTTAATACATGAAATGAAAATTCACTTTTATTTCGCCATTTTATAGCACATTTACAGAAATTGAATTTTGATCAAGAAATGCCATGAAACCAAAATTTTCAGTTGGTTACGCAAATAACGTGACATAAGAAATGTTATAAAATTTTTTTGTGCGTTGATGAAAGCGGTTAATCGTCAATTTCGAGAAAGTGTGGTTGCGTGAGAATGGACTTAGTCACAACTGCTCAAACTAAATACGGGCAGTATTAAATTATTGTGGGCGATGTTGTGATACGTCGCTTAAGTAAAGTAGTATCGATCATGAAAAGTTAAACGAGAATAAATTTATCCTTTTCAAAATAACACATTTGCAAGAATGCAGTATACACTAAAAATAACGTGATTATTACAACAGAAGAAGGATTTTGAGTTTACGGTGAAAACTTTTGATTGTTGGAAAAAAGTTACATTTTTTTTTTGGTTGAAAAAGATGAAAAATGATCAAATTACTTCTGGTCGTCTAGCAATACGTGAAATAGAAATATGTTTGATTGTTTACTTCATATTTCAACATGAAAACTATAACGTTTCTTCTGTCACCTTATTTGCATAATCAACTAAAACCTTTGATCTTTTATGCTTTTTTCGACCAAAATTCAATTCCCGTAAATGCGCTATAAAATGGCAAATTAATAAAGCAGTGAATTTTTATTTCATATCTTAACGTCAGTTTCCCAAGTCATTTTTTAAAAGTATATCATTTGTGAATGCAGCTTTTCTCGTCCTCATGTGTCTCGAAATCTAGCAATAACGCCATCAGAAATGATCAGAATACCAATTTCATCCCTAATAATCACTGAAGAACAAACACAATTATTGGTCTAACTTGGAAGGATCTGTAGTAACTCATAACCATATTACAATGCTTGCTGTGATGAATTTGACTTCGTTTACCATTTTGAAGAGAAATTACAGCTCAATAGAGCACTGCTTTTCTGAAATTCATGATCAATTTTGCCAGAACATCGTTTCAGAGAAACATAAAAAATGAATAAATATAATGCAATTGTTTATTTTGAATTCTGCGGTACGTTGGTTTCAGGTACAGCAAAAGATGTTTAGTCGCATCTTCGTAGTTGTTTTCGCTTCTTGCCTGTTACTTGAACTAAAATTCGCAGAGTCCACAGTGAGTATAAACGCCATTGAAATTCCAATTTTTGATCGTATTTAAATCCGGAAAAATACTCATTTTAATTCATTATTACAGAGAGATGAAACGAATGAAGAAGAATTGCCGAAAGCACTCAAAACCGAAATTGGCGTACAACCTGATCTATTCACCGATTCATTACAAACCGATAAGGAAAAGCTGAGGAAAGGTGGAAATTCGACAAGTATGGTAAATGATCAGCAATCTCAATGTAATGGTTCCCGGAAGAAACCCAGTAAGTTGAATTCCAAGTGCAAGGCAAAAGTGCATGCTGAAACAAAGCAGTTCCAGTGTGAAACTTGCTTGAAGAATTTCACGACCAAGGGTGCTTTAACTCAGCACTTCCGCACACATACCGGTGAGAAGCCATACATATGCGATGTATGTGAGAAAGGATTCGGTAGTTCTAGTTATTTGAACATACACAAGCGCATACATAGCGGTGAGAAGCCATACATATGCGACGTATGTGAGAAAGGATTCGGTAGTTCTGGTCAATTAAACACACACAAGCGCATGCACAACGGTGAGAAGCTATATATATGCGATGTATGTGAGAAAGGATTCAGTAGTTCTAGTTATTTAATC